TCAGCAATACATTACTACATCTCCGGAATCTCACCACTGTTCACTGGAAGCAACATTACACATTCAAAAAAGAGAAATACGCATCCTTTCTTAACAGCATTTTATTTGCACTTAACCTAGCAGAATACATGATATAGTGAATACATGTAGGAGATCATGCATCCTTCCAAGCAAACATTTCCATACTTTGGTGCATGCTGGAAAAAATAACCATATACAGCAGTAGCAGCAGTGCCATGGTTTGCAATGAACACAGTGGCAATTGAACCAACATCACCATGAAAGAATGATTCACTCATTCATTTAGAAAACAGAGACTGGTCAGGTGGCCAATTCTAAGCTCCGCACAAAAGTGACTGCGAGGAGAATTGCTTGTGTTGCCACAGCCTCCAGCTAAATTCTTCCCTTCAATTTGTGATCTGTACTATAAAAACTAAGTGGATGATACTGGCAGCACAGGAATCTGCCTTTCAAGAACCTGTAAATTACAAATTAGTACTGCGTGCATATATTGCTTTTTTAGTTTTTAAATAGCATTTACAGTAAAAAAAACAAAACAAACCAGTAGTCAAGAATACATGTGGTATATCTGGGGACAATATTTTACTGTTCATTGATGACTTCATGTCCTACAGACATGTTCAGTCCAGTGACATTTGCCACTAAAAGGCTAGAATATATATTTTTTAAAAATGCAGAATGAGTCGCACCACAAAGGGTAGCTAGAAAAAGATCTGACTTTTCTGTACAGCTAAGGGCAGTAAGTTATACATGTTGGAAAAAGGTTATTCTTAACTCTTTTCACATAGCCTTATACAGAGAGGCAATTAAAACAGAACTAAACCCATTGATTTAACAGTTTCAAAAGAACAGTTACAATCCTGACATGCCAGGAAAGCCAACGGTCTCATTTGCTTGTGCTTTCAACCAAACTGCCAAGCCATCAAAGAGCTGGTGTCATAATTGATCATGTGCAGCACAATGGCAGTTGCAGATCAAACAGGGATGGCAGCTTCTTTGGCTGAAAACGATAGGAGGGTTTAGTTCCACTTTAAGTGCATCATAAAAGGTGTAACAAACTAACTATAAGAAAAACTGGTTTTTAGTTTTGGATAAAGTAGGGAAAGGTTAGAGCTCCTTGTCTGGTTTCACAGCTTTCCGGGTCCCCTTTACAGAATATTTTTTGTACTATGGAAATCTTTTACCAGACAGGATGTGAGTGAAAAGCTATAACAAGGGAAACAGAAAACAATACAAAGCTGACAAGGGTTCTGAGATTCCTATGCTTATCGTGAAAAAAAAAAAAAAAAAAAACAAAACAAAACAAAAAAAAGGTACTGTGTTGTCCTAAGGGCCGGTTCACATCAGAATTGCACAAGATCGAGGTCCATGTTCCTGTGTGTTCCCCTGCAGTGTAATTTATGCAGCCCATTCACTTTAATAGTGAAGAGCTGATTCACACGGAGCGGTGTGGTTTGAAGCTCAGGTTTCACAGCTAATCGATACAATAGTTGTTCAGCGGTTCATGTCAGGTTTATATTAGGTTCAGGACAGGATTAGCTCTCAGGATTATCCTGTTCACACATACGCAGTTTAGAAACAGTTGCCATAGAAGTCAACTGCCTGTAATCAGCATCTGAACCAGACCGCACTGCTCAGAAATCATACAGGACTCTTTTTTGAATCCGCACTGCCAGTGCACTGTACATAGGTGAACAGGCACCATAGGAAGCAATGTTTTTTCACAGGTCATGTGGATTGGATGCAGTTCAAACCACATATATGTGAACCGGCGCTAACACTGTATTGGCACAGCAGATCGCAATGGCAGTACATTTTGCTTGTGTACAGAATATGGCCTTTTCAGTGTTCTGGTTTTAACTAGCTCTAACCAAAGCCAAAGAAAAACAAAAATTGGGGTGAGGGGGTACAGATACAGAGGGGGGGGGGGAACTAAACCCTCCTATTCTTTACAGCCTAGAAATCTGCTGTTTGATCACCAGCTTCCATGGTGCTGCATATATGATCAAATATGGTTAGATAGTTCAGTGAGGGTACAAACAATTATTCACAGCATGCCTTAAAGCAGAACTAAACCCATTTGTTTGGCGCTTTCAAAAAACAGTTACATTTCAGGCTAGCTGAGAATGCCAACTGCCACATTTGCTGTGTTCTCAACCAAACTATGAAACCATCAAATGGCTGGTGTCATACAGTCATGGCCGAAATTGTTGGCACCCTTGATATTTTTCCTGAAAATCAAGTATTTCACACAAAAAAGGTATTGCATTAACACATGTTTTGCTATACACATGTTTATTCCCTTTGTATGTATTGGAACAAATATAAAACAGAGGCAGAAAAGCAAATATGACATAATGTCACACAAAACCCCAAAAATGGGCTGGACAAAAGTATTGGCACCCTTAACTTAATATTTGGTTGCACACCCTTTGGAAAACATAACTGAAATCAGTCGCTTCCTATAACCATCAATAAGCTTCTGACACCTCTCACCCGGAATTTTGGACCACTCTTCCTTTGCAAACAGCTCCAGGTCTCTCTTATTGGAAGGACACCTTTTCCCAACAGCAATTTTAAGATCTCTCCACAGGTGTTCAATGGGATTTAGATCTGGGCTCATTGCTGGCCACTTCAGAACTCTCCAGCGCTTCTTTGCCATCCATTTCTGAGTGCTTTTTGACGTATGTTTGGGGTCATTGTCCTGCTGGAAGACCCAGGATCTTGGACGCAAACCCAGCTTTCTGACACTGGGCCCTACAGTGCGACCCAAAATCCTTTGGTAATCCTCAGATTTCATGATGCCTTGCACACAGTCAAGGCACCCAGTGCCAGAGGCAGCAAAACAACCCCAAAACATCATTGAACCTCCACCATATTTTACCGTAGGTACTGTGTTTTGTTCTTTGTAGGCCTCATTCCGTTTTCGGTAAACAGTAGAATGATGTGCTTTACCGAAAAGCTCTATCTTGGTCTCATCTGTCCACAAGACGTTTTCCCAGAAGGCTTTTGGCTTACTCAAGTACATTTTGGCAAACTGTAGTCTTGCTTTTTTATGTCTCTGTGTCAGCAGTGGGGTCCTCCTGGGTCTCCTGCCATAGCGTTTCATTTCATTTAAATGTCGACGGATAGTTCGCGCTGACACTGATGCTCCCTGAGCCTGCAGGACAGCTTGAATGTCTTTGGAACATGTTTGGGGCTGCTTATCCACCATCCGGACTATTCTGCGTTGCAATCTTTCATCAATTTTCCTCATCCGTCCACGACCAGGGAGATTAGCTACAGTGCCATGGGTTGCAAACTTCTTGATAATGTTGCGCACTGTGGACAAAGGCAAATCTAGTTCTCTGGAGATGGACTTGTAACCTTGAGATTGTTGATATTTTGCCACAATTTTGGTTCTCAGGTCCTCAGACAGTTCTCGTCTCCTCTTTCTGTTGTCCATGCTTAGTGTGGCACAGACAGACACACAATGCAAAGGTTAAGTGAACGTCTCTCCTTTTTATCTGCTTTCAGGTGTGATTTCTATATTGCCCACACCTGTTACTTGCCCCAGGTGAGTTTACAGGAGCATCACATGCTTGTAACATTCTTATTTATCCGCAGTTGTGAAAGGGTGCCAATACTTTTGTCCAGCCCATTTTTGGAGGTTTGTGTGACATTATGTCGAATTTGCTTTCTTTCCTCCCTTTTTTTGTTTTTGTCCCAATACACACAAAGGGAATAAACATGTGTATAGCAAAACATGTGTTAATGCAATACGTTTCGTGAGAAATACATGATTTCCTGGAGAAATATCAAGGGTGCCAACAATTTCGGCCATGACTGTAACTAATCACATGTGCAGAACCATTACAGCACTCAGCACATAAACAAGATAAAGCGTACACACTGGACAAGTCAGCACCAGGGATCACAATGTTTAGTCCTGGTAAGCTGGGTTGTCTACTTCAAAAAAGGACAGCGGTAGTACGCAATTATACTTACACTTCAACACCCTATCCTCCGGTATATATAATTAAATACTTCCCTTGGATGGTAAAATGAGATTGCCATGTCCACAGAATGTGCTCAGCACTGTGACATTCTTCAGTGGGCAAAGCCTCAGACATGCAGTCCATGGAAGTAGACAGGCTGCAATGACTTGAAATCTGTGGGAGGACATTATGGTAGGTGCCCAGTTGTGGGTGAGTGCAGATATGATGCACTTATTCACTGTCTGCACACGGCATGCATTTCAGATCTCCCATTTTACCTTAGCATGGTAAAATGGGTACTGTAACAATGTAATTATTTTTCTTACCTTTCTAGACCTGCTGTGATCTGTATTGCAAATTCATCTGAAGGGCAGCAACTTGCAAGCCATGTTGCATGGAGCTTAGAGTTGGAAAACTGTCAAATTCCAATTATGAATGAACCCATAAAACTTGCATAGATTATCGAAAACACTTGAATAAAAATATAAAGCATACCTCAAGTAAACTTCAGGTAACAGTGCCATTTTAACATTTTGTTTGTGCCTGCCCAATTAGAGTGATATGATCCTTTGGTAACATTTTTATCTACCTGTACCCCATGAAAAAAAAAAAATGTATATTTTAATGCATATTTATCTGAGCAGCCATAGTTTATTCTGCAGGTTTTAAATATAAAGCTATATGGCTTTTTTTTTTTAAACTAAATTAACTATGAAGGAACAGGGTGGTACTAAAACCACCAATCAAATGCCTGCTATCATTTTCCAAAGTGCTCTATTTAAGTAATAGTTAGAATGTGATTGGTGGTTAGGGCAAGACCTCGTTTTGCCACTGCTCAGGGATTGTTAATTCTTCATTTGCTCTCTCTGCTCTAAGGAAAATCGAACATGCTCTTTTCAGAAGGGAATGCTTTTACCCTACAAAACATTTAGCAGTACAAATCGGGTATTTGTTTTGTGACAAACTGATAAAACAGTCCACTGAATTATCACAACTGCCTGACTAAACTGAAGCCTCATTGTATATACACTGGTCTGCTGGGCATCTTTTCTTTCCCCTACTGTGACCTGACGGCTCCCAGTGAAGTCGAATAGTGTGTACTGTGCCTACTGCCACACATAGTGGTTCAGTCATCAAAGTCTGGAATGTCATCGTATGAGTAACCTCTGTATCCTTTAGAAGCATAATAAGCGATGCGGAGGTGGTAGAATCCAGGCAGAAAGACCAAAATTCCAATGATCAGCACAGGTATAGCCCGTTCATTGCCCTTCAAAAAAAAATTATTTAAAAAAAAAAAAAAAAAAAGTTAAAATGCAATTGTTTTTGTCTACAAACGGCTCATCCATAGTCACCAGTACCAAACAAACAATGAGCATTTTGTATATAAAAGCCACAGTCATTGATCAATTGAGTGAAAGATGCTACCAGAAACATCTTAAAGCAGCTGGTCATAAGGCAACTGGGCTCCGGACAGCCAAAGCAGCCTCAGAACAGCCATACTCATGGCTTAATGAATTCAAGCAGATTTAAGTAACAACGCTTTAACTGATGTAGAATCTACCTCTGTCTCACAAATATACTAAACTAAAAAGCAAAGCGAGGAATACCTTTAAGCATATGTAAACCCCAACAATACACTCTTATTTGCCTCTGAAATATACCATTAAAAGTATTTTGTTATATCCAAGTGCGAAAAATTACCTGCTGATCCTGCCAAAAGTCCTGTGTACTCTGCAGTGTTATCATGCAGTATTTTAGAACTACAGAACCCCCTTACCCTTTGGTATGCAGAAGACGAGAGAAGACAGAACACCTAACAATTCTTGTCCTAGGATGACAACCCCTCTTCTCCACAGATGCAGTACAGTGTTTGAGTATCATCACCCTAGGACAAGAAGTGCACCACCTGTAAGATAATCAGGTGAAAACAAAGGGGGAAAAAAATTGAGAAAAGAAATCATATTCAGCTAGCAAGGCTGGTAAAGCTGCAATATATTTCATTTTGGGGTTTATATTTACTCAGAAAACTAAAATGAAAGGTAGAGAAGAGACTATTGATGACTGCATGTCTACCTTGACAAAACACAAATATGAATGAAAAGAAGATTTAAAAAAAACCTCTTACCCCATTGCTAATGTGTCCAGTTAAAAGGAGGGACCCGATCACAATCAGCAACGTGCCTATCAAAAACAGGATAGTGGCCAAAGCAATGGCTTTGTATGGTATTTTTGGAGGGCTCTTCTTAAACTAGATAGGAATCAGAAAGCATATTTATTTAAAAACATTAACATTTGTTTTCCAACTAGAGATCAGTAAAGTGCAAATTAAAGTTGGCTAAAAAAAAAAAAAAAAAAAAAAAAAAAAGTTAATATAACATTTACAGAAATATTTTAAAGGTCTCGGGGCTTATCAGAAGCACAAATATACAAGATAATGCTGTGACTGTATACAACACAAAGCTTATTTCACTGTGCAGATTGTCCTTTTTAAAAGTTATTTCATTACTTTGTTACTTACAGTTACTGTACAAATCATTGTCCATTCAGAAAAGGAAGGGGCTGGTAAATGACATATTTACCAGCCCTTTACTTTGCTCTCCATCCTGACATCCCCTGTACTCGCAGCTGCTGGCGGGCACAGGGGATGTCAGCATCATTGCGGGAAGGTAGGGGGCACACAGGGGGAATCAGAAGCAGGCAGAACAAGGAGGGGGGGGGGGGGGGGGGGGGGGGGGATCAGTGCGGGGGAAGAAGCAATTACAGAAGGATGCCCTGTGTCTCTTCTGGCAGCAGCTGAAAGCAGGAGGCAAGGACAGTCTTTGAGCTGCTACAGAGAACCACACAGGGCATCCTTCTTTAGTTGCCCCTCCGTCTTGCTGCAATGAATCCCCCTGCTGTCTGGGCCCCTCTGTGTGCCTGGGGCCCTACAGGAGGACTGGTCATTCCCTCCCATCAGCGTCCCGGCCCTCCCATGTGCACTGATTAAAGTATATGTAAACGCTAACAAATTTCTCTTATTTATTCCTTTTTGACTGTTAAATTCACCATTTAAAGTGTTTTATTATATCAGTTCAAAAAACGCAAAGAAAAACTAGTTCATCCAGCCAGAAATCTTGTGAGCTTCCAAGCGGACATGACCTCAAAGTAGCAGGAGGAAAGTTCAACACTCATCTTTGGAAGTATTATTTTGATGTGTGGAATAAACTTCCAGCAGAGATAGTAAGTTACAGTAAGTGGATTCAAACATGCTTGTGGTAAGCATAGATCTATACTCAGACAAAAAAAAGCTTGATTGACCACTTATTCCAGACTGTTATCAGGTAGCATTGTTCCCTGCTATCATCCTGGACTACAAAACACCTCCCCTGTTATGGAGAAGAGAGGGAGGTGTTATATAGTCAAAATACAATATTATGCAGTCACAACACCAGTACTAGGACATGAGGCGAGTTAATGGAAGGATTACCAGATTAAATTAAAAGGAAAGAAAAAAGTGTGAACAAATAAAACTAATAATATATGGGCAGCACGAATTCCAGCCACGGCACCACCTGCCTGGAGTTTGCATGTTCTCCCTGTGCCTGCATGGGCTTCCTCCGGGTACTCCAGTTTCCTCCTACACTTCAAAGACATGCTGGTAGGTTAATTGGATCCTGTCTAAATTGGCCCTAATATGTGTATGAATGTAAGTTAGGGACCTTAGATTGTAAACTCCTTGAGGGTTAGGGACTGA